GTGATTCATTGTACATCTATATCAATCAAGGATATAGTTTATACATTTCTATAGCAAACATATTTTAGGATACCTTTGTAAATCATGCATGTTTCAGTATATTTTATCAAGTTTAATTATTTTATGTGGTGTAATTATGTAATGATTTTAGTATGGAAGTGAGCTATCTCTTGTTGGCTGGCAAACACTCTGGATTGTTTCGTAATGTTTATCCGCAAACAATTACATTGTTCCCGTGTTCCTTTGAAGCTGACTAGATTCTTGGATTTTCAGGTGGGAAAGTCCATCTTTGTAATTCCACATATATCTCAGAGTGAAACTAGATAAAGGGGTGTATTTGTTTCTCAGGGTTTATCACTCTAAGGCTATTTTGACATTTGTCCAGATAGGTTACGAGCAGTGTTAGAAACACCTCAGCCAATCTCGTCATCCATATTGTTTCTATGAATATTAGAATTTATACTGTACTAAATAGCACAATATATCACATTAAATATTAAAGACCTGTTTTGCCTCCCCCCCACCTCCCCGAACACTGTTACATTTAATGTTTTGGGACTCAGTAAGTCAGAGCAACTTTTGGTCTTGCAGTCTTGCAGTGCCTCGGTCATACTGATACAAGAGTTTTGCAGAACCATAGATTATCTTCAGGGTCCATGTTTAAATATCCCAATGCCAAAAGGGTGATTCTGGCAGTTCTACTTTCACATTGTTCTCTTCCTATGTTCCCCCTCCCTTAGCGGTCTCTCCTCACACCCCTCCCCTAGTGGTCTCTCCACCGCCCCCTCCCTCCTTTAGTGGTCTCTCCCTCCCCTACGTTCTCATCTCCCACCCCTCGTGTTCTCCTCTTCTTCTCCCCCTGTGTTTTCCTCTTATTCCCCCGCCTCCCTGTGTTCTCCTCTTCTTCTCCCCCCTGTAATCTTCTCTTCTTCCCTCCCTGTAATCTTCTCCCCTTCCCTCCCTGTAATCGCTTCTTCTCCCCGTAATCTTCTTCTTCTCCCCAATCATCTCCCCCCCTTCCCTCCCATCAAATCATCTCCCTCCCTCCCATCACACCCCTCCCTCCCATCAAATCATCCCCTCCCTCCCATCAATCATCTCCCCCCATCCCATCAAAATGATCTCCCCCAGCCTCTCCCATCAAATCATCTTCCCCCTTCCTCCCATCAAATCATCCCCCATCAAATCATCTCCCCCCTCCTGCAATCAAATGATCTCCCCCCCCTCAATCATCTCCCCCATCCCATCAAATGATCTCCCCCACCTCCCTCCCATCAATCATCTCCCCCATCCCATCAAATGATCTCCCCTGCACCAAATGACTTCCCTGCAATCAAATGATCTCTCAAGACCCCCCCTCCTATCAAAATGATTCCCCCTCCCATCAATCATCTCCTATCCTATCAAAATGATCTCTCCCTGCAATCAAATGATCTCCCCCCTCAATCATCTCCCCCTATCCCATTAAATGATCTCCCCCCAGCATCTCCTCACCTCACTTCACCTCACCTCCCCTGCCCTGTAGCGTGGCCGAGCTCCTTTCCGGTCAGCGACCCGGCGGGACTGACAGGAAGTGCACACTCAGTGCACACTCGGCCACGCTACAGGGCAGGGGAGGTGAGGCACTGCGGCAGCTCAGGCAGCTGCAGAATTTAAAGGGCCGGCGATGGGGGCGCAGGGCGCCCCCTCCTATATGGCGCCCTAGGCGGCTGCCTAGTTCGCCTTATAGGAAGCGCCGGCCCTGATTACAGTGACCGACAAATATGTAAATCCTATACTTTCTATGGTATTTATACTTGAAATGTTGATTTTTAAATAAAAACACTGAATTATATTGAATAAGCAGTGGCAGTGACATCACAAGCCAGTCTTATATATTGTAGTTTCCTCTCATATGTCATCACACTGGGAATAAAATAAGAGTTTAGAGGCAGACAATGTAACAGAGCAGCAGGAAATGCTAGCAGAATGCTTGGTTGTATAGGGAGAGGTATTAGCAGTAGAAAGAAGGAAGTGCTCATGCAATTGTACAGAACACTGGTGAGACCTCACTAGGAGTATTGTACACAGTACTGGAGACCGTATCTTCAGAAGGATATTGATAATTTAGAGAGAGTTCAGAGAAGGGCTACTAAACTGGTTCATGGATTGCAGGATAAAACTTACCAGGAAAGGTTAAAGGATCTTAACATGTATAGCTTGGAGGAAAGACGAGACGGGGGGATATGATAGAAACATTTAAATATATAAAGGGAATCAACACAGTAAAGGAGGAGACCATATTTAAAAGAAGAAAAACTACCACGACAATAGGACATAGTCTTAAATTAGAGGGACAAAGGTTTAAAAATAATATCAGAAAGTATTACTTTACTGAGCGGGTAGTGGATGCATGGAATAGCCTTCCTGCTGAAGTGGTAGAGGTTAACACAGTAAAGGAGTTTAAGCATGCTTGGGATAGGCATAAGGCTATCCTAACTATAAGATAAGGCCAGGGACTAATGAAAGTATTTAGAAAATTGGGCAGACTAAATGGGCCGACTGGTTCTTATCTGCCATCACATTCTATGTTTCTATGTTTCTATTGATGTTTTACTATTATTAGCTGTAACTTATGATTTCTCAATGTGTTTATAAAAGTCTGTGCTTACTCTGGGCAAAACACATGTTGAGTTATTCTTAGATGTCAGTCTGTGAGTTATAGCTGAACATATAAGTGATGCTTCTGTCAGAACGAACCAATGGCCCAACACGCAGAACAGTAACAATGTATAAGAATAACCAGTAATGAGCCGAGGTCAGGAATACAGAAAGGCACAAATACGGAATAAGCAAAGCCAAAGGGTCAGGAATACCAGAAATATGGAAAGTCAAGATCAATAACCAAATAACAGTAACAGGAAGGCGCTCTCGGATAACCAACAGGAGGGTAACCATGGCAGGGCACTGAACAGCTGCAGGTTTGGGTTTAAATAACCCAGTAAAAGCTGCTATTTGCTTGTTTGGGTCCAATGACCCCAGAATGTGCATGCGACACCGCAGGTACGTTCATGTTACTAGTGGCAGGTGTCCTTGCTAATGCTGCACCCGGCTACTGTCCTGGGAGCTAAGCGGAGGGAGATGCGCTGGAGGCAAGGTGAGTAATCTCTTCCTCCTTTAGTGTGACCGCACCTATCAATTGCGGTCACATCGTTGTGCCGTTCGGGCACCGTGACTGCATGACTGCACTGATCAGGTGCGTTCACACTGACGTGCCGATTGGGCACCGTGACAGTTTCATTCAGATTTCATAGAACAATTTGTTTTCTGCCAAAAGTTACAGCATAAGCACAAGCTATAACAAATGTTTTTTTTGGGGGGGGTTTTCAAACAGGTTTTTGGTGTGAAGTGTAAGTTTAATTTTCAATAATGCGGTTTACAGGCTTGCTTGTAAACATTTTCAATTTTGGCAGATCACACTGTAACATGTCAGAAAAACATGTTAATATATTTTTATTCAATATCTCTAAAACATGATGTGTCAAAGCACAGTTTTAAAACATTCGCATGTTGATCATTCAACCGTTGACAATGAACAGGTAGAGTACATTTTTAAAAGAACCTTTTTATTTATTGATGATATTCTTTAAGCGAAATGTAATTTTAAACCACATTTGCTCAGCTGTAATCCAAAATCCATAGGTAAAACTTTAATTGAACTTAATTCCCATAGAGGAGATAGCAGTTTGTTCTATACATTTTTACCAACAGTGCATTTGTGTGACTGTGGCTACATACTGCTTCCAAAAGCTACCGAAATACTTTTCTTCCATTCATAATGACATGTTACAGTGTATAACGCCTTTCTCTTTTCTCTGCACTAGTGTTTACTGTCTGTCTCTCACACTGTCTATTCATAGTCTAATATGTCAAGTAGACTTGGAGATTCAGATCCGTCAGAAGCAAAATGCGATTTTCAAAAAAAAAACTCTTCGACCAAAAATTTTCACAACAGAAACATTTTGAAAATCAGAAGAACCGAAAAATGTTCCCCATGAGTAAGTCTAGTAGCTTCTGACACTTAATACCTACTTTGAATAACTATTTTACATTTTGTTAAAGAGACACTATGGCAATTGTTTCCCTCATTTTGCGGCTTCCACAGACATTTTCAGATTGACCCCAAATTTTTTTTAATCAATCTGAAATATAAAATTGAATATAAATATACAAAATAAAGTCCAAACTCCCACCACTCCTGGCCGGCAGCAATGATTATAGCACACAGCAGCACCAATACATATAATACAAACTTAAGAAAATCGTTACTTGCACATCTTCCCAGATCCATTTAGTATCACTCCAATGGTCATTTAAGTGTAAGCTCACCTGTCACGTCAAGCAAACCTCTTAGGTTAACAATTCACATATTGACTTGACGCTGAAAAATGCAATGGGAATTGTTAGCACAGGGCTCACTTACGAGACTTCATTAAGCTAAAGTTGTTCAGGTGACTATAGTGTCCCTTTAACTAATTACTGTCTTTACCATTCTTATGAAATGTCTAATACCCATCTATCACCCCTTACAACATGTAACGTCGGTCTGTATTTCTTCCATTAGCTAATGTTCCACTCCCACCCGTTCTGTGACTAATATCTATACTTTTTATTGCATTGTCTAATGTCTGTTAATCTCATATCTTCCACTATTTCTCTCTACTTCACTCTTTCTATATTTGCCCCAGTAGTTTCTCACATGCCTTCTTTCTCTTGTCATTTGCTTAGACTTCCCCATAACTATATTTTTGTCCTGACTTCCTCAATATTTACCACTAAGCATTATTCTAATTTCATAAGCTCATTTTCATCATTTCCTCTTCACATAACATATAGAAATACAAATGTTCTTACATTCATTATGTGCTTACTATCTATGTAGTATGTCTTCTCAGTCATAAGAACAATTAATAAAAAATAATAACAAATTTCACCAACTGGTAACCAATCCAACCCTCAGTATGGGTCCTTTTATCATTCTTCTACTCCTCCAGCAAGGTAAGATGGAATGTATATGTGTAAATCTACTTAATAACAATGGAAATAAATTATTTGAAAAATATTTTCTTATTTACAATAGAACTGAGATATCCGAAAGAGAATTACATGTTAATATATTTAGAGAAAATGCCCTGACCATAAACACTTGAATTTTAAAAAAGCAATTTACCACCTTATTTGCCATACACTGTTCACGTTTGTCTTTAATTTAATATATGTGAATTTAAACCCATTAATATCAATCTATAAAAAAAAATAATTTTTACTCTGATGTGTTATTGTTATTTATGTTAATTTTAATTTTACATTTATATTTTGATGTTGTTTGAGATATGTTTAACATCCTAATATGGTGTTTACATTTATTGTTTAGCAGCTAATGTGAATTTTATTGGTATAGTGTTTCTCTGTGCTTTACAAATTATTAGAACAACGAAAAAACAGGGAAAGCGTCTTATTTAAAATCATTATTATCTGAAATAGCCTTACAGCAAACTATGTGCACAAATTAAATAGCAAAGATGTGAAGTTTGCAAAATAATATCTTTGGTTTCCAAATAGATAAAGTATAATATATGTAAAAATAAATAAATCTGTATTCATTAAAACATAGGAACCAACGTCTACCTAAACAGAGGAGACATTGGTCTACTTCACCAGACTTCCCTGGCAAGTACAGTGACACTCTACCAACTTATACACCTGTTAGGGTGTTGTGACTTCTAATGTTACCTTTATCACCCCAAGCCAATATGAGAAGCCATACATGTCTTATTATAACTCATATAATGAAAAAGTGTTTTATTGCACGTATAACACCAATAAAATATAAATTGAAAGAACAAAAAAAAACAGAGCCAGAGGAAGACTCAGAAAGAGAGATGTACCTCTTGACAACCTTCTTATTCTAAGAAGAAATAATGTACCTCTCACTTCGTGGAAAAAAAAATATCCATAATTTTAGAAAATACCTGCCTTTTGTCTTATGTTTTAATACAGAATAGAAGTACCTTGAATCCTTTTAGTAAGTTAGTAGCTTTTCTCAAAATCTAGCCCTTAGATGTTCATGGTTTACAACCATCAAAATCCATTAAATGTAAGAGATGGCCAGAGAATTATGTGAGTTATATTGAAGAATTAAACCATCTGTGTCTTTGGTTAAAGCTGTTTATGAAGAATGTTGAGAGTGGAAATATGCCTGGAACAAAAACAGTTGAAAGATGAATTCATGGTTGTTAATCTGATATATGTAAGCTACTCAAGAAGTTTAGATGTAGAATCAGATCCAGACCTAGTCTCAGGAGGAGCACTCCAGATCCTTAAAGTCCCCTTTAGCTTGCAAGAAGTGCTTTGTGTTTAAAGAGTATGTCCTCTTTAAATAGAAATTGGTACCTTGCTAAATGAACATAGGTACACCCTTTTACTGTCAATCAGGATGTCTTAGTTGTTTAGCTCACAGAGCTCAACTTAAGAGGCAGGCAATTGCTCAGAGCACCTGCCTTGAAAAGACTTTATAATGAGCTGCAATTTCAAGGCTGGGACTGGACAGCCAGTCTCTGCTTTCAAAGGAATCATAGAAAAGAAAGGCAGCTTTCATGAGTTGTTTTTGAGGTATCCACCAATGTTTTCCAATGTGGGTATATCTACTAAAGAATATTTTTTATTTTTTATTGTTTACATTTGGGCAGAGGAGTGTCCCTTTAACCCTTAAGGACGTAGTGATTACCTATGTACTCACAAGCATATTTTGATGTTTTGACAGCTTTGAGACATTTATATTTATATCACACTAACGTAAATAGGTTAGCAAAGTCCTGGAATTACTGCTGACATAGCAAGAGAACCAATATGCTCAAGCTGAAGAACTGGCTATATGTATCTTGCAACAGTTTGCAATGTTGCTACTTACGTACTATGTAACAGGGCAGAAAAATATTTGGAGTTGTAGCGAAAGTGACCTCTCCACTGGTTTTCACCTCAGGGGGACAGGGGGTACCTACCATACAGTCGTATGCGGCAGGTATGGGGTGATACACTCATATGCCCCACAAGGACTTCCTACCCACCACACCAACGGGAGACAGAGCAGCTAGCACCAATATCAGTTAACCAGATACCCCAAGAAGCCTAGACGGCTATAGATGTAACATGCTGCTCTCTGGACAAAAAACAAGTGCAAACTTTACAACCTCCTCCCCCTCACACATTACAACCTCCCCCCCTCCCTATGGGACTAGCAAGCTTCACATAAAGGGGCACTCCCAGCTCACGGAAATTAACACCCAATGCTAAAATTCGCCCAGCCTAAGGTGATCTTTCTGGGGACCACTATTTCAGGAGCACTATGCTGTCCCCTGAGAGGTAACTGTGCCCTAATCTGTGCAACCTAATCCCTACTTTCTGTTCCTGCGGGATCCACCAGATAATAATAGTGAATTTTTGCCTCTCTTAATGTTATTTTTATTTTTATTTTTCCGGCTATCAGTCTAGTAAGTTAAGTTTAATGTACCAACAAGACATGCTGCCTACCTAGACATGTATCTCTCATCTATTATATGCAAAGTTTATTATGAAGTTATTCACCATTTTAGACATGACGTCCTAGCTTAGACTTCGTCTATATCATAATTATTAAAAAAATGTGCTGTGCCTGCGAATGTACAACCTTTTGTTCACCAGTATTTCATGATATGATTACACACTACTTTTGTTGTACTGGTGATGGTAAATTTCCTTATATTCATAAGTACAACTAAAAAGAAGAACTTAAAAAAAAAGATACTGTTTCTGCCTCTCGGACTTCTACTGGAACAGATTCAAACTTTCAAAGTGGCACTTCGACTACAGTCGAAGTGTCGAAGTTGTCACCATTCGACATTCGAACATCTTATTTGGTCGAACGTGTTCAGCAGTGTTTTGTTGTGGAGTTCATGGAACTCAAATCGGACACGCAATGGCACGAACACCGCTGAACAGTTACCTTCCAGGAAACTTTGACTATTCGAACGGGAGTCGAACAGCGTTCTGAATTGAATCCCACGAACAAGGGACACACATTTACTATGTTCATTCACCGTTACGTTCGGTAATTCGAACGGTACTTCAACTGTTTAAAATAGACCGGCCGCATAGCCTTATTCTCCGGAACTGTTTTGGGCATGAACCCATGCATGCAGTCGGTCAAAAAGAGACTTCCAGCTAACTTTTGAACCCCTGAACCGATCTGAGTGATTTTTAAGTATGTTGTTCCACCAGATCGGGGCTATCAGGGGATGTATGTGTTATGGGGCTCAAATATGTTTTTTGGGTGTTTTCAATAATGTATAAAAACGTGTCTTTTTTTTGTTTGGAGATAATTGAGTTGATACTAAATTATCTCTCAAGCATGGGGGAGGGATTGTGTATACTGTATGGGAGTGTCTCAATGTAAAACTCTATTTTTATTAGCTTGTTAATCTTGTGTCCCTGTGCCCAACATGGTCAACCTGGGCCTCACCCTTGTTCGGAAACCTGCATAAAATGCCAGGTGTGATTTCCATTAAACAGACTTACTTCACCCTCAATCTAGAGTCATGTCTCTTATTGGGGGAAACTGCTATATCACTACAAGTGATTGCTATAATCATTATACTACCTTGGTTTCTCTGAGCTCTTGTAAAAGCTATTCATGCTTGACTCTTTGGAGGAAGAGAGGTTCACCCACTGGAACCTGGAGGGTGTGGAGACAATGAGACCCCAACCAAACCGTGGTGGTTGTGGGGTCTACAGTGCATATGGTGTCTGGAGGAGTGCTCGGATTCCTCGGCAAGTACTAGGAGCATCTGTCAGTGGAGGTACGTAACCGGGGTACAGGAAGCTCTGTTACAGGAGTATTCCCTAATTATAGCTTGGTGACAATGAGCAATTAGTGCAACAGTTTTGTAGCTGCAAACACTGTTAGCAAGTGTAAAATAAGTAGGTGCTCAGCGGTATATTTAGAGAATCAGAATATACAGCACATGCACTTTGCAACCAACTGCATACTCCCATGATAATTAAACCCATTCCTTTGTCATGTTTAGGGGATTGACATGTAAGTTTCCTGCTATGTCTGAAGCAGGACATCAACATATATCTTGAAAAGTGGGTAACACTGCTACCTCTACTATACCAAACTTGAATACATGCGATGGTAAGGTTCCTAGCGCTTGTTAGATCTGGGTATGGCAGCTGGTACTTCCCAAACCAGAGTCTCTTCTATCTGCTAGTAACAAGGTATAGGTCAGGAAAGGCTACAGGGAATAAGCGCCTTCTGGGTATCCTCCAACTCGTATGGTGGTAAGTATGGAAAATATGAGGACAAAAAACAGATTATAGTGTCCCTGTGCCCAACATCAAGTGCAGATGGTCCAGGGGACCGCATACAGATATCCGGAATAAATGTGCTAGTATAAAACATTAAAACCCCCAAAACTGACATCAAGCCAAAAATCTCATGATGCAGCATCCAGAGTCTCAATCCACTGACACATTTTTATATTTTCTAGGGTTCATACAGAATGTTAAAGCAGTGCCTCTTTCTATTTTACACTGATATTTAATAGGATCTTTTATATATTGCCAGGATTCTACGTTTCCTATGTTTTCAGGATTCTGGCACTAGATACTTTAAAAGCCAACATTGCATGAATGAGAAAATATTTTTTGTTTATTTGTAGCAATGGTAAATAGAGATGTAGCAAATATTTGCCTAACTCCTAAAAGCCTATTGATATTTGAGAGGATTGAATTCCAACAATTTGTATCAGGGGACAATCCCTATAAATATGTCTTTCATTAGCTTCTAACTGACCCCATCACCAACAATAAAAAAAACATAATCAGGAAACAGTGCACATGGACTTCACAGTTGGTAAGATAAAATCTTCATATAACCAGATGCTAAATAAAAGTTCCAGGCTGTGTACCTCAAAATAATTTAAAAATATCCCCTAGAATAGAATTGAGAAAGCACACTAAAACCAAAAAAAAGACCTTTACACTGGAAAATGTGAACTTTTTACAGACTCACAAATATCCCTCTATTGCACAGACAATGGACAAGATTTACCATCCAACAATCAGACAATTATTGCAAACCAGAGAAGAAAGCACTCCAAGCTGCAGGACGCCGATCTCGCCCATTTGTCAGAGCGACCTTAATATATGTGGTGTTCCCAAATTATGGGCTTTATCAAGACCTTCACATATATTACACTGAAGAAGAGAAAAAGTATATTGGGCATCAGATGAAAACATTGTACACCAGCTTCAATATCGGATACTATTTGTCACGCCAAGGATGCATAATTCATTTTTGCACAATAGAATATTGCCATTTAATGTATTATGTGTAATGCATATATGAATTGGCTACTTGGTTGCAAGATCAGATGACAGAAGGGGTAATATAAATGGTATAGGAATGTGAAAGGGGGCAGGTGGTTTACAACATGGATTGATCTTTTTATTAGTCAAAGGCTCTGCAAGGTGTGAAATTCTACACACGAGATGACTGGATATCAAGTTCCAATGTAAACTAACTGACTTTAATCATATGGCCTCTACCTCTATTGATGAGTTAATTTCTTTAATATGTTAATGATCATTAGCTATCAAGAAAGAAACAAAACAAAAAAAACAAGCCTTGTGTTCCAGTATCATATCCAAAATAAACACTATGACTTACCCGCAGATTAATAATTAAGCCTCATTTTTATTATATTTAGAATGGGACAAGCACAATCTTCTAATCAAGCCTAAACATGAATTGCATAACTTACCCATATGGGAAGGGATTGTGATGTCTGCTATATTAGGTCGCAAGTAAGGAGTGTGATCTATGTATGGAATGGAAAAAATGGTAACAAATTCATAGATGCAAATATTATTTGAGTGGCAAGTACATAATAGGAGATTAAACCAAATGGTTCCATTTGGATTGATGCTGGTCTGGAACACAAGGAGGGTTTCACTTATTGTTTCAACAGGTACACCTTAACTGAATCCCTGGGCAAGACTTGATAATCCACAGGGTATATATCTAATGATTCTGAAGTGTGTTAGGACTTGCTTAGGGTCCACAATCTGAGTAAGTCACCATTCCTTGCCAGAGACCCCCTGGGCAGAAGTTTTACTTTGAAAACCTGAGTAAGTGATAAGGACTTCTGGTATTTTATCTTTTTTGTTTTTATCTGTTGTTGGTGTAAATAATTTGATTGACACCTATATTTTTGTATGCACTGTGACTGTTTTTTGCTCATAATAAATTTTCCTTTATAAAGTTCTGCCTTTGTCTGGTTAAGAATCATGTTACCAGAAGAGACTAATGAGGAATTTTGCAATTACATAGATATTGTGCTAAGTGTATTTGGTGTTGTTTTTTATTATTAGGTTACCTGGGGACCAAGGCACCACATTTATAACTTGTCTTGGTGGTGGCAGCGTTAAAATCGTAATATTTATATTATTATGCTTAAGTGTGGGTGGTGTTAAGGGGGATTTTATCATTGTTTCCAGACTAGTGCAGACAAATAGTGAACTTTAACCACCACAACTAAATCATGTACACTCTTGAAGTAGGGTGAGTTTCTGACACTATTTAATACAAAGATCTTCTTAAAGATACTTTCATATACATGTACATTATATACATGCTTTACCATCAGAAACAGAATTGATTAGAATTATGCATAAATCCCTTTCAGCTGCAACAAGCAAATTAAACACCTGTCAATCAAAGATGGACGAATCGACTTCCTAAATAAATCCAAATAAATCAATTAGTTCATCTATTATTTAAAAAGCATTTGCTTATTTGGCACAGCTAAAAGGTATTTGTGCACAAGTAGAAAACCTTTCATTCCATGTGGTTATTGCATTATAATAACAGTATAGCTACACTATTAGAGACAGACTGAATTTAAAGGATCTTTCTAGGTATACAAAATGCATTAATATGAAGAAATCTGATTCATTATCAACTAAATGTTTTGAGCAAAATAATTCTAAAAAATTAGTCTTACTTTTAGTCTTATTTATTTATTTTTTCCTAATTTTACACTGTGTGATTTGAATTGTGTTTCTTTACAGAAATAATAGAAAGTTCTGCACAGTATTACTGCGCTCTGCAGGACAGAACGATGAGAGTGACAGAGGGAGGATCTGTTACCAGCCGATGTACATTATCATACCCTGAACGCGATGATTATACAGCACTGCTAATACAGTGGTATGACTCAGAATATGGAAATTGCTACACTGGATACAATATTTATAACCTCACTATGATCTCCACACATGATAAATATAAAGGGAGAATCTCCATAATGACAAATCCTGTTGGAAACAAATCTGAGTCAATTGAAATCTGGGAAGTGAAAAGAAAGGACGGTCCAGTAATCTGCTGCAGTGTTAATGTCACATATATTTTAAATGCACCATATTATTTCAGCACATTATATGGGACACAGCTTCTGTTTGATGGTAATAATCACATTCCGTTCATATGAGACATATCTTTCGCTGTTTAGTTTGAATAATATAACATATTGAGCTGAATTATATATTATTCTCGGTGTTTTTCACATTGCTCCCACTCCTCCCAGCACAGAGCAGATATCAAACAGTAGTTGATCACAGTAGCTATAACCAGACTGGAAGCCCCTACACCATCATGCTGGGCTATGTGGATCCATTTCCTTGTTATCTTCCCTGTCTGCTCTAAGGATCTATTTTATAAGAAATATTTATTCTTCAATATAATTTTAATCGCATCATGCAACAATTTTCCTGGGTTTCTCGGTTTTATGTCTTCTAAGAGTGACTTCATAACATATGGATCTGCCACAAGGGCACCAATGTTTTATATAATTATGGGAGTGTTAAAGACTAACTACAAAATAGCAGAGACCCCACAGTATAATTCTTCCTATTCCGTCACACCATACCTTGCAGTATAAGGGCTAATCATAGAGTAGGTGAGCAGCCAGCTCACAGGTAAAAATAAACTGGATAAACAGTTGGCTTTTGCTCAATTCTTCCTGCCCTGTTAACTGAGCACTGGACCTTAATATATATACCGGGCAATTGTCATTTAGGAACCTGTCATTGGTCCATACCCTTCAGTAATTGTAGTAGGTAAGGGGTATTAATACATTTTGGGGGTCTAGTGGACCCTCTATACACAAAGAATTCCATTCTTTGAAATGGTCAGTCCTCCAGTATTTAAATTAATATGCTTGTTTGTTCCTTACTCTTTACACGTTGTAAAGTGTTCCCCTGTCTTTTGTAGAATTACTATTTCCTTAAGTCACTGTAATAGGTAAAGTATAAGAATGTATTTATTTATTAAATATCTATACACAAAGAGTTCAATTCTGCAAAATGGTCAGCCTGTGCAACAGAATGCCAATTTTAATGTAATGGAAAGCAAGGGGTGGCACTACTATGACAGTTTTCCAACCTTCTCACTATCTCAATACATGTAGGCATTTGTGTTTTTGGTCCTTGTTCCTTGAGCTATTGCACTTTGATAGGTGCTGCTATATTACATACATTTAAAAAAAAATATGCACCATTATCACTTGGAATTTTTGCTATTTGTGATTGGTGTTTTTGTTCAATGACCTTTAACCTTTTGAAGGCAGTGTCCCAAAACGTGTACCCCTGTCACTTGTAGAATTACTATTCCCATAAAATGTATCCAAATATACGACTGGATTGGAATCGTGGAGTTAGAATTCTAAAATAATGAAGTATCTGTATTTTGGTTAATCTTGCTAAAAAGAAAAAAACACTTGGTCATCTAACCAAAAACTTTCAAAGTCAAATCTTTATTTTCCATTTTTAGAAATCCATATATAAAACTAAATAAAACTAAATAAAACCAAATAAAAACAAAGAGACTGTTATGTAAAATATTGCCCATAAATTATTCAGATCCTGGGAAAGTTCAATCTTAATGTCTAGACCAGTGGTTTGCAAATATTAGATCCCCAGATGTTTTAGAACAACAACTCCCTTGGTGCATTCCATGCCTATGCAATGTTTAAAATGGCAAAACATAATGAAATATGTAATTTTAAAACATCTGGGGATCTACCTTTTGGGCACCACTGGTCTAGATAATGGGAAGAACCAGCTGTGCAGCAGTCAATTGCCACATTTTACTATCCAGAGAAGAGCAGGTACCAACATAGAGTTATCTGGAGACACCGAGAAAATGCAGACTGCAGTAGTTATGGTGCTGCAAGTTCCCCTTAAACCCCTTAAGGACACATGGCAAGGGGTTAAAGGGATTCTCCAGTGTTAGGAAAGCATATTTGTTTTCCTTGCACTGCAGGACCCTGTAGTGCCCCTCTCCCTCCCACCCCCATCCCAAGTTGCGGAAGGGGTTAAAACCCCTTCAGTGACTTACCAGAGTTGAGCGCCGATGTCCCTCGGTGCTGGTCAGGCTCTGCCTACTCTCCACCTACTCTCCTCCCCCGCCAATGTCAGCCGGCGAGTGTGACCTAATACGCATCCATGACAATGGCCACGCATGCGCCTTTGACCTCCCCATAGGAAAGCATTATTCAATGAAAACTGCAATAATTACACTTGCAGGGTTAAGGGTAGTGGGAGTTGGCATCCAGACCACTCCAATGGGCAGAAGTGGTCTGGGTGCCTGGAGTATCCCTTTAAATCTGTTGAGTGCTCAGATTATTACACTTTGTGGGTGTGTATGACAACTTGATTAGAATGATGCTACATTACATAGAGCAAGTATATTATGTCATTCAATGTATGATGTTTAGCGATTTACGTTAATTTAATTATCTGTACTTTCTGTCAGCATATACACAAAAGAAACAAAGTCAGATCACTATTGTTTTGTCACCTTCCATAAGAATGAGCAAACTCCTATTCCTCTACTGTCTGTATAAAGATGACTTTATTCTCTCTAGATCAGGTCTGGGTGGATCAGTTGGAAGCTGTTACTGCTCTCACAGGAGACAATATCACCATTTCCTGTCACATTAATTTCCCAGCTGGAAGGAACGTTACTGTACAACAAGTCACCTGGAAAATGGGAGAAGCTTGTCACATAGCAAATGATATATTAGTTATATTCCCATCTGAGGTCAGAGGAAGTACTGAGCGTTTCTCTGTGGTGGATTTCCCTAATGATGTCTCCCTGCATATAAATAATATACAGATGAATGATGGGCAGACTTACTGCTGTTTAGTGAAAATCAATGAAGAGGAATTCAGTACGAAACATGGCACAGAGCTGGTGATTACAGGTAAAATAGATTTAATTCACTGAATTCTTAGATATTTCAATATTTCAATATTTTCTTGAATTAAGGTTTTTTTTTTTTAAAGGTACACACCCAGCGATGTAATAAATACCCACCCAATGTGGCACGTTCCTTCAATCAGGAGCTTTGTTACTATAATTAATCACTGCCCTCCCAGTTTCATAGGACATTCTCCCACCCTGTGTGTAAGGCTACCAGACCCCTCCATTAAGGTCTGACATCCCTTCTAGTAATGATTTATCTGATTATGCAGGATAATCATATTATTTTTCGTATTCATGAATGATACAAAACTGGGTTTTTGATGGTTTTTCTCTGAATTGTGTTTATCCAGCCAACCAACAGGGCACAGATCACAGAGATTGTCATATCTTCTCACAACTCACATTGAAACACAAGTTAGCCGCTCACTTCTATACACAGGAAATACACTTCTTGCTGATTATAAGCTAAATATAGAATTGTAGTGAATTTTTTGTAAATCCATTTTCTATTTCCTCACATACTTACTTTCTGATCTTATCCCCCAGGTTGCTATCCACTTGTGTTGTTAAATTCATCTCCTCTACAGTGCAAGCTCATCAGATAAGGGTTTTCATTATCAACTTGCTCCTCTTACTTTTTGTAATAGTTTTTCTTTATTTCTATTATATTCCCACAATTAAAATGTAATATGCTGCAGAATTTATTATTTTTATTAATAATTACACTTCAATTCAATGTTTAGTGAAAATTAAGGATTTCATTTTATAATTTAGAATTGTACATTAATATTATAATTTTATTGAGAAAGAGTGATAGGTGCAGTGAAGGAAAAAAGTATTATATCCTCAGCTAATTTCGAACGTTTGTCCACTGACAAATTAATAATCAGTCTATAATTTTAATGGTAGGTGTATTTTAACAGTGAGAGACAGAATAACAAAACATAAAAAAAATCCAGAAATATGCATGTCAATAAACGTATAAATTGATTTGCATGTCAATGAGTGAAATAAGTATTTGACCTCATTGACTTAGGACTTGGTGGCAAAACCCTTGTTGGCAATCAGAGAGGTGATACGTTTCTTGCAGTTGGTCACCAAGTCATTAAGGTTTCGAGGTTGATGTTTGACAACTCAAACCTTCAGCTCCATCCACAGAATTTCTATAGGATTAAAGGGACACTGTAGTCACCAGAACAACTACAGCTTAATGTAGTTGTTCTGGTGAGAATAATCATCATATGCAGGCATTTTCATGCCAACCCTTGGGGCAACTCCTCAGATGACCATTGGAGGTGCTTCCTGTTGCACAGTAGCCAGCAGTGCCGTTCAGCGTCTCCACGCTTTGCATGGGGACGCTGAATTTTCCTCATAAAGATGCATTGATTCAATGCATCTCTATGAGGAGGTGCTGATTGGCTAAAATGGCATTTGGCCCAACCCCTTGCCGATTTCAGCCAATCGAATGCTAAAATCAGAAATTCTGATGATGTCACTAAGAGGGCGGGGCTAGTGCCGGCAGACCCGTGCAGCGCTGGAAATAAGGTACGTTTTAATTGTTTTTGAGGGGGCTAAGTTGGGGCAAGCCACCTAAATGGTTGTGTTATTGACCCTATAGTGTTCCTTTAAGGTCAGGAGACTGGCTAGGCCACTCCAGGACCTTAATGTGCTTCTTCTTGAGCCACTCCTTTCTTGTTTCTGATACTCATGCATTGTGTTCCATAAATTTTGATACTAAATCTCTGGTCCCAAAGTTCATAGTCACAGGAGTTGTAATGTGGGGAGAGAATGAGGAGGAAATGGCAGCCTGGTTCTAAGAAGGGACACCAGAGAGACATGTGAGCCATATGACTGACTATTCATTACAGATTTAGGTTTTTGTTTAACTTTATAAAAGAAGAGTAATATATATTAATTGTATGTATTGGTTTCACTTCATATTTCCATATTTACAGTATATTATATGTTTAGTCAGTGCTATTTTCTGTTTCATATCACCTGGTTTGTGCTCTATATTATATTACGTTCTCTTCCCAGAGCTCAGGCGCAATTCAGAATTCACTGTTAATCAGCCTGAGGAATCCTCAACCACAGTAGGAGGCTCAGCCAACATTACTTGCTCATACAATACTCCCATAAATAAAACAACCATGGATGCTGTGATTTACTGGAGAGCTGGCAGCCATGATGGACCTATAGCATATCACCCCTCCACATGGATGGTTCATCCCACTTACAGAGGAAGGACAAATGTAACACGGAAAACAGATCTACAGATAATGGGGGTACAACACACAGAGAACTCTGTATATTACTGCTTTGTGACGCTCAAATTCTGTGTTGGCAATGGTGTCATTAACAATTCTATCAGCTATGGAAATGGAACAAGACTGATCGTAATAGGTGAGATCAGAAAATGCAAAAATGATATTCAACTATTACTGTTATGCATGAATGTAATTAAACAGTTAATACTAGAGTTGAGCAGACACCTGGATGTTCAGGTCCTGCGGGTTCGGCCGAACTTTGAAAAAAAGTCCAGGTTCGGGCTCGAACTTGACCCCGAACCTCATTGAAGTCAATGGGGACTCGAACTTTTGGGCACAAAAATGCCTCTAAAAAAGTCCTGGAAAGGGCTACAGGGCTGCAAAAGGAAGTAAAATGGGGGTAAGAGTAGGACAAGTGCCCTGCAAACAAATGTGCATAGGGAAATCACTTAAAATAACATAAAATACATAAAATAAGCAGCCGCTTAGTAGATAACTGCCTATTTACCACGGTATTAGGGAGCTATCTACCAAAAGGCTAAAAAGACCTAAATTGGTCCTTCAGCCAAATTTACTAATACTAAGTAAAGATTACTTAGTATTAGTAAATTCAGCCCCTACTCGCTATACCGTGAGTAGGGGCGTGTCTAGTAAACAGTGAGCAGTGGCTGCTCACTGTAAAAAACCAAAACAAACCTATTGTCCCCACCCCTGTGCGACAGATGGGGACCGTAAATAAGAATGTGGAGGGGAGGACCTACTGTCCTCCCCCCCGGCCCGCACCCCTGCGCGGCGGGTGGGGGGCCTAAATAACAATAAGGGGGGGGACTTACTGTCCTCCCCTTGGTCCCCACCTCTGCGCGGCAGGTGGGGGCCCTAAATAACAATAAGAGGGGGGATCTACTGTTCTCCCCCCCGGCACCCATTCCTGAGCGGTGGGGGGGCATAAATAGGAATTTACACCCCTGCATGGTGGGTAGGGGCCATAAATAACAATAAGGGGGGGGCTACTGTCCTCCCCCCGGCCCCCACCCCTGCACAGTGGGGGGGGGCATAAATAACAATAAGGGGGAACCTACTGTCCTCCCCCCGGCCCCCACCCCTGCGCGGTGGGTGGGGGCCCTGAATAACAATAAGGGGGGACCAACTGTGCTCCTCACCCCGGCCCCCACCCCTGAACGGTGGGTGGGGGCCATAAATGAGAATTTGGGGGGGGACCTACTGTCCTCCTCACCCCGGCCCCCACCCCTGAGCAATGGGTGGGGGCCATAAATAAAAATTGGGGGGTGACCTAATGTCCTCCCCCCGGCCCCCACCACTGAGCGGTGGGTGGGGGCCATAAATAACAATAAGGGGGGACCTTCTGTCCTCCCCCCCCAGCCCCCACTCCTGAGCGGTGGGTGGGGGCCCTAAATAAAAATGTAACCACCCCAGGTGACTAGGGGTCCCCAAACCCCTAGTCACCCCTCTCCCCCCAAAAAAATAATCCCTATCTACCCCACTCATCCTAAAAATAATGAGGGGGACCCTTATCTAAATACCTGTAAAAAAAATTAAAAAAATAGACTTACCATTTGATGTCTTCTTTCTTCTAAACTCTTCTTTTTTCAGCCCCCAAAAATGGCAAATAAAAATCCATAATAACCGACGCACTTTCAAAAAAAAAGAGCGCCAAAAAATATAAATTTTCGCCTATGGAGGGTTCCGCGCAGACTTATAAAGCTTTGCCCGCCCTGCAATTAGATTCAGAGAAGTCTGATTGGTGGGTTTAAGCCATCCAATCAGAGTGCTCTGACAGGTAAATGAAGAGACTGACAGGTAAGTCTCTACATTTACCTGTCACAGCACTCTGATTGGTTGGCTTGAAATCCACCAATCAGAGTGCTCTGTGTCATTTTACACAGAGTGGGAAAGTTCTTTGGAATTTTCCCACACTGTGTAATTTGACTCATAACACTCTGATTGGTTACTTAATCCACCAATCAGAGAGTTATGAGTCAAACTACACAGCGTGGGAAAATTCCAAAGAACTTTCCAACGCTGTGTAAAATGACACAGAGCTGCTCACTGTTTAATAGACATGCCCGTACTTGCAGTATAGCGAGTAGGAGCATAATTTAATAATACTAAGTAACCAGTTTATATAGAGGCTGGGTCACATGCTACACTGGCCAATCACAGCAATGCCATTAGTAGGCATGGCTGTGATGGCTTCTAAGAGCCTTTCAAAACGTATTATTAAATCGCCGAACACCGTACTCCAACCCGAACATACTGTGATATGTCCGTGTTCAGTTCCGGGGTCCAAAAAACGTAATGTTCGGTACTGCAAAGATGGGTACAGTTCTCAAAGGATATTATAAGTAAGCTAAAATAATCTGAGGAACTCTCAATATAAACATTGCTTTTCTGTGTAATAAATATATCTGCAACGATTCTCTCATTGATTTTAAAGTAGTCTCACTGATTGGTTGGGACTATACATTAAGGTAGATGCCGAATATGCCTGACAAGTGCTGCAAAGGGTAACAGTCACAGGAAATAATATTTATAATGCTAGTAGATGCCATTAAACGCTCATCAATGAGCTCCATGTAGTAAAGTCAGAATGCTGAACGTTACTGCCACCTGCCTTATGGAGAGTCTCAAAAGTTTATCTTCTATTTATATCCCGTTTAAACATAAAGTATATACATAGAAAATGTAAATTTCCGCTCAGCAGAATTTCTGATAACAAATTGTGGGTGTGTAGATATGTTATTGTTTTCTGTAGAATAAATGTGCTTAACACCAAGTTTGAATCACTATTTACAGTTTGAGAGTTCTTTTTGTTGTGAAGAGGAAATTATAGAATGTGTTGAGCTATTTTTCTAATTCGAGTTTTCAGGAGTATTGATTTTTTTCCATTATTCCTGAAATTTTGCAGTCAAACTTTTTCTTTTGGCTCGAGCTGAATTTTTTCATGCCAAAGTTTTCCCAAAGCTGAAGACTTTGACATTTTGATCATACCAGGTTTTCTCACTTCACACAAGTCTAATTACCACCATGTTGCAAATTTAGAAACATGTCATTCCTGTTTCCTCTAGATGGCAGAATATCACTGCACTTTGTATACCAAAAACTGCTTTTTACTTGCTTTGCGTTTTTAACCTCGTAATTTTATGATATGTCATTTTACTTCAGAATCTGCCATTTTTTACCCTTCCTTAGCTTTCTTTGACACCCATATTTCATTACCATTTTATTTAACCCTATAAATCCTGTCATTACCCACCTTCTTTTTAGCCCTGTCTTTACCTTGCTTTCTTTTGTAACTGTTTGTTTTTCCACATTGTTTTCTTTTCCTGACTTACCTAGACTGTTTAAATAATTATTTAAATCCATAACACTTCTGATATAGTGGTAAAAAACAGTTATTGGCCAATATTTAGGACAAATAAAGGAGTCAAATACAGTATATTATAGTGTAATCAACCACGAATGACTCCTTCTTTTGTCTCATGTTACAATGTAATATACAGTACATGACTACATTTGTTTTACATGTTACAATGTAATACACAGTATTTGACTCCATTTCTCCCACATGTTGGTAAATATCAGTTTTCTCACTATTTCAGATGTGTAATGCATTGCAATAAATATTTAATGATTTTCTCACTCTTGGTAAGGTCAGGGAAAGAAAATTTTGTTAAGGAAAATACAGCTAAATAGAAAGTAATAGGAAAGCAGGGTTAAAAAAATAAGGCAGGGAATGGATGGAAGAAGGATCTCAGCACTGAGTGGACTCTTCTTTAGACATGCTGGAAAGAATTGTAATCAACAGTATTCCGTAGTCTACCTTCTGTCCAGTACATGTGGTGGGTCTCCACGGGGATGTGAGGATTGGAAAATAATAGGGCAGCTATTGTCTATCCTTAAATGTATGGCACAGAAAATCGAGCCTCAGTACAAAAAAAAAAAAATGAATTTACTCCTGCTGCTGCTTCTCCTTTTTTAAATAGTCCGTTATTTAAGTGGTTTCACCGTGGCTGGTTTAGTCCTCTTACCACTGCAGCCACACTTGAGAAAAGTTGACAGGGCTCTGATATTTTCCACAATGAAGAATGGCCACTCATGTAACAGACTGGATGTGTGGGAAAGCCTTGTTCTTCTCTCGTGTTTTTCAACTTAAAATGAAAACTTCTGCTTAGTTATTTTGTTAATATAGTCAAGATATAAAACAATCCTTTTGTGAACTCGGTATTGGCATCATAAAAATGCCTGATATTGCATAGCCATTAGGCAAGCAAGAATGTAGTTATTCTTCTGTGGCAGTAAACTAATAGATGCCTTTTATCCACCCTTTTGGTTTGACCAAACATTTTCCCTATTTTGCTTGGACTAAATTCAGACGAGCAAAACTAAGAAATGTATATGGATATTCTATTTTTTATTTTATTTTTGACTGCAGTAATTTTGGCAAACAAGTATAAAACCCAGTAATATGCCATCAGCTCTCAGCACACTGATATAATATATAATGTGTAAGATGTAGACTACATCTTAGTATTGAGGACAATGCTACATCAAGCACACTTTCAATGTAGCCTGCCTTCAACTTCTATATTTCACTTTATTACAGTCTGAAACTATTACACTTCTGGATTTATTATTACACATCTATCCAGAGACTTTTTAAATGCTTTCTCTCCCTGTCTTTCATAATTTATGGTATGGCTGCCATTTTTAATAATAGCCCCCACTTACTGGCCACAGACATAGCGACACTATGTTATTTTTTTCTGCTTGGGTTTTTTGTTTTTTTTAATGCAACTTTTAAAAAATATATTATTAGTCTCGCCATGGGGGAACATCGAATGGACATTCCCATTCCATGAAAGAGGAATGTTTCCTAAACAGTGAGCAGCCACTGACTGCTCACTGTAATGGTCAAATGGGCAGAATTACCAAATAACATTTGATCAGTCAACCATTCAGTAATTCGGACTGCTGAATATTTGTATTACATTTCCGTTCATTTTGTCTTTGAATGCACATGTGTAATATGTATCTCGAACTTTCTAAATTACTAACCAGCTGGTATTTCAGTGATAAGGATTTGAGATCGTCAGGATTAATTACATGCCTCTAAAAAGGGTGGCTGGGCATTTAATACACACAGTTGATGATGTGCAAATAATTCTAGAATGTTCATCTCAGTTTGTATAGAGAAATACCTTACCTAGGTAATACAGAAACTCATAAGCGGTCACAAAGGATATTGACTTTCCAAATTAACTATAACGTGGCTCTTTGTGTTTCTGGAAGACGAATCTGAATGATATGTTACTAAGAAATAGCTTTGAGGTGCATGACGATATATATGATCTTACTTCCCTTCTTAAACAGCCTAGAACCAGCAAAACCTTTCTACTACTGTTCCAATATGTCCAGTATGTCAATCATGTTTTGTTAGATTTTGGTGTATGTTTTGTTTACCTAATGTACAGTACTGCAAAATAGGTTGTCACTATATAAATAATTGTAATTGTAAGAGATAACATGACTATTACTAATCAACTAGATTTGTATTTTATAGTGTGAACATTTTTCAAACTGAGTTGGGAATGCCTATATCAGAGGTAGGCAATCTTCTGCACTCCAGATATTGGGGACTACATCTCCTCTGATGCTTTGCCAGCATTGTGGCTAGAAGACCACTATAGGAGATGAAGTCCACACCATCCGGAGTGCCGAAAGATTGCCTACCCATGGCCTAGACCATTCAACCTTTAACCTGCTGCAATACAATTAGTTTATGGGATGGTTAATGTATTAATAATACTAAGATAATCTACATCAGCCTAAAATAATACAATCTTTATTATATAAGGATATGTTTGAACCTTTACTTGATATTACTAACTATGAAATCTTTTAATAAAAGAAGAGAAAACCAGTCAGACACCACTGGTTACATCCACAAAATCTGGACCACCGATGCACACCACCAGCCTAAAAGGTAATTACATTTTCAGCCTAAAAATTTAATTCTGTGGCTTATTTCTCCGTTCCGCATAAAAATAACTATGTCTCATAAACTACATTTCATCATACAATACATTACAAATACTTATTGTCTTACAAATTGCAAAGTTGGAAGATCATATAGCTTTTAATAGTCAGTGGTAATTTATATTAACTAATGAATTTACTCCCGAAGCTTTATGCATTCAAAAAGTGATCTAACACATGTAAAATAATGTATTTTAGTTATGTGTTGATATGTATTGTAATGTGTTCTAGCTGTGATGCTAGTCCAAAAGTATAAACTTAAGAAATTACGTCAGGTTTGAACATTTCATAATTGCATAATTTGTGGGGTATTTGAATCAGGATTGAGGTTTTCTATGGTAATATCAGTGATGCATCTGTGTTACCTTGTTTTAGAATAAGAAAACAGAATGTCTTACTGCTAATTCCAAAGGTTTTAAAGGTCATTCAAATTTGTGAGATGTAACATAGCTTAGCCAATAACTGATACTATACTCATTTTACAGCCTATACATTTACAGGTGCTTTCCTTTCTTGTCACTTGCATAAAACACAATCACTTTCCATCATCAAGCATTGCTCATAAGTAAACTATGAAACCCATGGAAAAAAAAATATGTTCAGCACGCATTTAATTTTGTGAAGTGTTGGCTCAAGTTCTCCATCTTGTCCCTTGGGAATGTACCCCTAAAATTATGAAAAGAGCAAAACATTTGAAACTCTCTAGCGCAAAAATCTATCAGGAAATAATAATGATAAAAATAATAATAGTAATAATAATAATAATAATAATATTTACACTTCCTTCTTACCCTCGATTCTATTATTTTAGAAACCAGTAGCACTATGTTTCATCAGACTACAATGACATCTAGCCCAACTTTGCAGGCTACTGATCATTCGGGAAGAGGCAATCATTTTCTCAAACTCTAAATTGTCAACTTAATAATAAATCTCATAAAAACAAGGTTTCTAATTTTTACCGTTAATGGCTTTTCCTACAAATCTCCATGAATTTAATACAAAAATAAATATCACTACTGGTATCTTCAAAAATTAACACACAGACTCAAATTTATTATAAATAAATACAGCATTTTATGTAACAATCTACTTGGAGAAAGAAGTATAAGAAATACAAAGCCTAATCATAGTATATGCATTTAACTAAAGTTTGTGTGTGGATCCATATAAAAGTTTTATCTACAATTTGGCCATGAGTTCGTTCTGTACATATTATCTTCTTCGGTGAAGAGAGATAGACAACTTGTACTGCTATTTTCATGCATTTCCACTCATTAGTCTACTGACATGCACATAGCCACTTTTTCTGCATACTGCGGGTAAAATAAAACATATTTTTATGAGAATTCTAAAATCTATATGATATGGATGGCTTGCAGAGAATTGTTTTCCCATATACTGACATAACTTCTTACTCTTTAAAAAAAATTCTCAAGTTTACGATTTAAAAATACGATTTAAAAATATAAACGACATATAATAAATTTTTTTGAACAGAAAATCAATAAATGATTTATGTCTAGAAACTTGCATTTTAAATATATGATGTCTTTATATTGCGATTTCATTCCTTTCTTGATATTTTTTTCACAGGTGTACACAAAATATCAAGAACTCTAATAATAGTTATCAGTTCAGTCATAATTCTAGCCATTCTGATTGTCATGGGTGGAATTCAAATCTTTCGAAAAGGTGAGGTTTCCTAACTGCGTCTATTGGTGGGGTATATTGTATTCTATTCAGCTCTCGGAACTGAACTAGTTATACAGATGTAAAAATTATATACTGTTGGAGGTTTAAAAAGGGTTTCTGTAGGGAGTTGAAGAGGGTATACTAAACTATTTTCCTTATAGAGGAATGTTAAAATTGGGGTCAGTGGATTGGTACTCGTCCATTTTCATTCTATGCTAGGATCCCATTTGTGAGATTCATTCTCTCTGACCTTGTATATAAAAAGGAAAACAATATACAATAAATAGTTAAGTATATCAAAAGATCAATAAAATGAATGTTCTACACTATTACAAATTATACAAAAGATGCACACCAAATTCCACTATAACAGGACTTTAATGTAAAACCTAAAAAAAATTACAAAATTACACATAGTGGCATGGTTTGCATAACAAAGCAAGATACCAAACGAATACATTGAAATCATAAGCCAAACAGAGAGAAAACAGTGAATTGCAATCAATCCTCAAACTTTCGACACATACTAAGGCCTTTCTCAAGGGACCAGCGTGTAACCCATATCCTATATCAGGGATAGGCAACCTTTGGCACTTCAGATGCTGTGGACTACAGCCCCCATAATGCTATTTCACCCATAACACTGGCAAAGCATCATGGGAGGTGTTGTCCAAAACATCTGGAGTGCCGAAGGTTGCCTATGCCTGTTCCATATGGCTCTAAAATACCTAAGACTCAACTGATGGCAATTAGTTCTATACAAAGGAGTGCAAACATGACATCATCATGTGTGTCATCATGGGAATATAAAGAATAAACTACCCCAAAAGTATATTTCTATGATTGCACACTTGGTAACGTTTGGGAATTGAACTGATAGCCTTCAGTTGGTTTTAAGGTAAATATGACCCATATTTGATATGTGTTACATGCTAATCCGTCAATAAAGAAATAAGAATGCTGTACAACAAGTACCTAATTCCCAAAATTAGGTGTATGGACTTAATGGGTGCTGGTATTAACCTTCACATTTATGCAAATAGATACATAGATATGTGAAGACTCATAAAAGCAAGATCCTATTTGAAGTTAATGAGTAATACAGAAGTCTCCAATATATATATATATATGTATATAGTACATACTTCAAAGCTGTTGTATACTCCAAGGAATCCATGTATAAAATAGAATTATGAGTCAAAAATATGTTTTTTCGTTGAGCTCATTTTCAAACGCCTGCCCAGAATCCCTGAATTTCTGTGGGAAAAGCAAGTCTTATGGCTTGGCTTGACTTGTGTATTTGCATCTAGCAATATATTAACTATATATATATATATATATACAGTGCAACCTTGGAACTAGAACCTAATCTGTTCTAGAAGGATGTTTGAGAGCTGATTTGTTCAAAAATCAAATCAACATTTTCCATAAGAATTAATGTAAATTAGATTAATGCGTTCCAGACCCCCAAAATTACAGCACTTTAACACAAATGTTATGTTTTAATAATACCTTACATGCATAGAATCCTACAGAAATACAATAAACACAATGTAAACAAAATGAAAATGTTATTTTACTTTACCTGTTTGCCGACAGAAGAGAGCTGTTTGCCGACAGAAAGGAGCTCTGTTCTCTGACAGAATGGAGCTCTGTTGTCTAGTGCTAGAAGGCCGATGTGTCATACCAACAAGGTTAATGCTGTGTGATTTTGTTTTAATACCGAGTTTGTTCGGGTACCATGACATTTTTTCTCAAATGTTATGTTTGAACACCGAATTGTTAGATGAAGGGAGCGTTCCAGTTCCGAGGTTCCACTGTATATATATTATATAATTATTTCAAGTAGGTTTTCAATAAGAGTAAGAATTCATTGTACAGAAATACTCTTTTAAATAGGAGATATACTGCCTGGATTTTTTTGGATCAAGACAATACATAAATCACTAAAACAAATGTGATTACACAGTTTCTCAAGTGGAATAAAATAATAAAATGTTTATTATACAAAAAAGTACAAAGCCACACTAAAAATAATGAATGGTGAAAAAGGAAAAATGGAAAGTGAAGTGGCACACAAGATCAATCATTTGCATATCTGGATTTGTATTAACTTCGAATCTTGTGTGCCACTTCACCACTCCTACATTTTTTACATTTTCACCACTCATTTTTAGTTTTTACAGTTTTTACACTATATTGTATGATCAACCCTTAAAAAAAGGCATTAGTTTATGCAGAAAAGTAAAAAATTGAGTAAAAGTGAAATTTAAGCACTGTTTTTCTCTTTGGTTGGCTTATAATTTAATTGTACTTATTTTGTATCTTGCGTTGTTATCCAAGCCATACAGCTATGTGTAATTTTATAATTTTTTAAGGCTTTGTAATAAATGTTTGTTTTGGTTTAGTTTGGTGTGCACCTTTTATAGCACTTTGTGTGTTAATTTGCACCTCAGTGAGTGCAGTATTGGATTTGCATCCGGCAGTATTAATGCTTTGTTTGCCTGTCTGTATCATACACTAATATTACAACATCTGAGAGTGGAAAAAACTCTTCTCTTGATGACAGGAATCGTCAAACATAATCATTCCATGAATGGCTTGCATTAATCGATTCCAATTGAAAGCATTAGATTAAAATGTTAAAAAGAGCATACTTTATATTAACTAAAATAAATTGCTTCCTTAAATATAAAAACTATATAAAATATATACTGAATCCGGATGTATTGAGAGATGTGAGTACTGAGTAGATCATAGGCCAACATAAAGAATGAGCTCTCCCAACTTATATTTTCCAATATTGGTAGAAATTCTTTACTAAAACAAATGGGATTTAATATTCATCATCAGTACCAGTTGTAACATATATTTACAGACTCTAAAAGGCTACAGAACAGAGACCCGATCCTACGTACAATGGGCCGTCCTGTAGAGTTTTAAAACCCAAATGGATTTTGGAAGTGTGTACAATGTTCTGTGCTGTTCTCTTCTAACTCTATGTTAATTATTAATGTAATGTGAACACAGTACAAAAATAGTAAAAACGCTTAAAATATTGACAGACAATATACAATAATACATTTGTAGGACCATATTAGCTAAATGTAATGCACAATTTTATGTTTAGGACTTTGTTGTAAGAAAGAACATAGAATGTAAGTATAATTTCCTTATTTTTTTAATAGAATATACTCTGTTATCCACTCGATAAGATGCACAGCTAGAGCTCACTCTGCTCCTCTGTGTTAAATATACATCTGAATCGAAACTCTTTATAAGATATTCTGCTACCTTTTGCTGCTTATCCCTCTATAATATACACAGCCTTTTACTCACACTGTTCCTGTCACTGTAAGATACACAGCTATCACTTACCCTTCTCACATCTGTATAATATACAAAGCTATCACTTACCCTGCTCACATCTATACAATATACACAGCTATCACTTATCCTGCTCACATCTATATAATATGCACAGCTATCACTTATCCTGTAGCCCATGGAGAAGCAAAGTAAGTGGAATGGGCCCTAATAGAGATGGGAGGCAAGCATAAGAAGCAATTAGTAAGTGGCTAAGGGGTTAATAGGGTGGGTTTAAGGGTGGGTGTATATATAGCGGCCATTTTAGGTAGTGGCCATTTTAATCAGCCTTCTCTTACCGGTAGTAGTCTGCAGATCAGGGTTGGAGTCTCCGTCTTTTGCTTTGCAGATGGATCATGTGCAGGCCTTCTTGGCGAGTGTGTGGTCGGCTTGGGATGCCTGGGACGTTAGCGGGGCCTTCATCTGCGCCTGTGCCAGCCCACTTGGAAGACCAGGCCATCTGAGTACCTTCGTCCCAGTGCTGTGTTCACAAGGAGGAGGAGCCTGGGAGCTGTGGTGGGAGATCACGGGCAGAAGGCAGAGCAGGCGGAGGTGCTGGGAAGCTATGACCTGTGCCGCTCATGGACTGCGGTGTGGGCTCAGGATGTCAGGGGGCTTGTGTGGAATAGCTGGGGGTAACAGACGGGGTTCCGCTACTATGGCCCCAGCCCCTGTTAGGGCTGGAGGACCCCTGTGGATGCTGTGGGGGGAGCTCACTGATATCACAAGTGTTTTTGGTGGATGTGAAGGACCCCCAAGCACTCCTATCAGACCAGGTGTTAGCGGTGGGAACTTGGCAAGTTCTTGTTCGGCCCTGCCAGGGGCCAGGGATGTTGTGCAGTGCCAGGCTGGCCAGGAGGCAGTTTGCAGGGCAATAGTGGCTGGCCCTCAGCAAGAGGGCCATAAGGATCGCTCTCAGGTGACAGGAACATGTTTATCTGCGTCTGAGCTGTTGACCGGCTGGAACGCACATCTGAAGATAGCCTGTCAAAGAGTGCGCAGGGACAGTGCAGGGGCAGGTAGTCCCCTGTAGGACAGTGCAGCAGGGATGGAGTGCAGGCGGCATGTGTAGTGGTGAGAGGCGGTAAGTCTCTTCAGGTAGGTGTAGCTGGTGCTGCCACAGTGCCTCCAGGTCATCTAATAGCAGCCCCAGTGATAGAAGATGTATTCCTTTAGGTCAAAACAGCAGGCGTAGAGTAGAGAAGGGTGGTGAGGTGGCTGCAGGTGCTGTGTGGGTGGACTTAGGCAACAAGAATGCTGGGACAGTTCCCGATGAAGCGTCGGGGGGTGGTGATAAGCGAATCGAATTGGCAGGGCCTATACCACATGTGACGTGAATGAACGTGCATGTTTCAGTCACCAGCCCCCTTGGGAGTCATCTTAAACAGGACAAAGAAAATATTTGTCGGGGGGAATTTCTGAAGATATTTTTCCTTCTGCTTTAGGAGTATATTGACTTGATGTAAGAATACCTTAAGGTTGGCAAGAAGTAGGAGGATGAGAAAAGGCAGAGGTATCAAAAGATACCAAAGTCTTTTGGGAAATGGCTGCAGGACTTTTGTATCTTGGCGAGTGTGCTGTGGGGAAAAATTCCCAGAACGCTGTTACAAGTTCTTTTGTGATTTAGATGGGATCTAGGAGGCCTATCATATGTATGGTGGCTTAGCATGGTGGAAGGACGATGAGCAATTTAGGCAGCACTTGTCGGTCAATTCGGGTATGCAGTGGGACAAGATGGACTTGCCGCTCTAGCCGAAATTGATGATGGCGCAAAAGGCTGCTTCCTTTCCGAGGGGGGGGTGGCATGGGATCAGCTTCTTCCTCACCGACCGCCCAGAAAAAGGGATTCTGTGGGGGAGCTGTGGGGGAGCTCACTGATATCACAAGTGTTTCAAGCAAGGTAAGGCTGTAGTGGGGGTCGGCAGGGGTTCTACTTCCGGGGGGGTCAATGCCGGTGAAGGTCGACGCGATGTTGCCTTGGCTAAGCCAGTATGCTAAACTAGATGATGCAAACTTGTTGGCTGAGGGTGGGGTTTTCTGAAGGCTTTTTTCTTCCATTTAGGGATAGGGTTGTCGTTCGTCGGTTTCACAACTTGAAGTCGGTTTTTCAGTACCTTGGGGTGGTGTGGGACAAATTGTTTAAGGAGGTTCAGCTGGGGAGGATGGCGGGGCCATTTGTGGAATCTCTTTTCGGGGACCTACTGATTTTGCCACTGGGGGTTGTCCCTAAGAAGGAGGAGGGTAAGTTTAGGCTTATCCACCATTTGCTGTATCGTAAGGAGTCGTTTGTGACATCGGCGCGGAGCTCTGTTCTGTTTCCTATGCGTCTTTTGACCATGCAGTTGAGTTGGTGAGGAAAGCAGGCTCTGGTGCCCTCATGGCAAAAGTTGTTGTCAAGTCGGTTTTTTGGTTGGTGCTGGTCCACGGTCATCATCTCCTGCGCTTTTTTTTTATGCTGCTTACGTGGTGGATCTTTGTTTACCCATGGGATGCTCCATATAGTGCGCATACTTTGAAAAATTTAGTACCTTCCTGGCATGGGTGGTTAGAGAGGAAATGGGCAGTGGTTCTACCTAGATGACTTTTTGTGCATCTGGCCTTCCGTTTCTGATGAGTGCAGTTTGGGATTCTTTTGGCAGCTGAAAAGACTGTGGGCCCAGTGACTTGTCTCAGTTTCTTAAGCCTAAAAATTGATTCGGTGGCTGGGGAGTGTCATTTACCATCAGACAAGCTGGGAAAAAGTGGGGGTGGTTCAGAGTGCGTGAAAGGTGATGCTGCGGGAAGTGCAGTCACTGCTGGGAAGTCTTACCTTCGCATGTCACATAATTCCAATGGGGAGGGACTTCAACCGGTTTCTGCTGAGGGCCACTTGTGGGATACCGTCCCCTCACCATTATGTTCGGGTGTCTCATTCCATGAAGGAGGATTTGGGGGTTTGGGATGTGTTTCTACTGGACTTTAATGGGTGGGTTTTCTTTTGGGGCTCGGTGACTTCCTCTACGGCTCTCAAGTTGTCCTTGGATTGCATGTGGCATCGTGGGCTTTGGCACATACTTCGTGGGGCGGTGGTGTGCGGCGTGGTGGCCAGTAGAATGGTTGGGGAGTCCGCAGATGGGTAATCTGGCCTTTCTTGAGATGTTCCCATTGGTGGTTGCCTTGTCATAATGGGGTGAGGAATTGAGGAACAAACGGGTGGTCTATTTCACTGATGATATGGCTGTAGTTCATGCCGTTAATTGTCTGTCAGCATGCTCTGTTCCAGTAGTGCGTTTGCTCTGGCATTTTGTGTTGTTGTGCATGTCTTTGAATATCATGTTCCGGGCATTCCATATGCCTGGTTATCTGAACATAGTGGCTGATGCATTGTCTCATTCACAGTGGAAGCATTTTCGGATGGCGACAGTTAGGAATGTCCGGAGGAGATGGAGTCATCTTGGAAAGTCCTGTTTGGAGGGCTGATACAGAAGTCTATAGCACCTGGAACGTGGGAAACTTACATCAAAGTATGGAGGAAATGGGATGTGGTTGTGGGGTAAACTGGGGTACAACATTCCTGGGATGAGCGTTTGGTTTCGCTGTTGTGGTTTTAGGGTCATTTGCTTGCTGGACAGGCATTGCTGTCTGTGGCTGACTGGACCCTGGCAGCACCGGCATTTCTTTTCAAGTTGAATGGATGGGAAGATCTGCTGAAATTTTATCATCCAGCAGGTGCTAAAAGGTTTTCATAAAGGAAATCTTCAGTGGATAATAGGTGTTACGAAGTCCCCTCTGTCTGCCACAACCCTGTTATTTTATTGCTACATTTGTTGCTTTTACTGAAGAACTGTTGCAGGCCTGGTGTGTGCCCCCAATTAACCCCGTTCACCCCTCAGAATAACGAACAAACTGTCGAACGGCCTACCTAAGAAGTGTGTCCCCAATTAACCACCCAGGAGCTGCAGTTTTGTGGTTAACCGCAGCCTAATTGATCGTCAATGGGGTGGTCACTGTTCGTATGAGAAGGGTTGAAACGGGGTACTGAATGAACTGACGAACTAACTACAGAACGATCGACCACCCTACCTGAGGCTTGTGCCCCTGGTTAACCACCCTGAACCTTCAGTTTTGTGGTTAACCACAGCCTAATTGGTTATCGCTGGATGCTGTTTGGTGCTTTACTCTCACTCTCCAACATTGGGAACCAGGACATCTAAGCGGTCCAACCTTCAGCTAGCTTTGAGGCAACCATAACAATAGGCGTCTGGTATCGTTTGAGGTCCTGGAGCGGTTGGTGGGGGTGTTACCTACAGTGTGTTTTTCTGGTTTCGAGGTGGTGCTGTTCACCGTGGCATTTGTGTGGGCATGAGAGCTGCAGTTTGGAATCATGGAATGCAGCTGGGTTTCTCTTGTGCCTAGGTTTCTCTGTGTTGGATAGGTTTTTGGGGTGGCAGTTAGGTGTGAGCAAGGAAATTTTCATGCGATTGAGGTTGGGTCACACCCCAGACATCTTATTAATACATGCCAGGGGGAATGATTTGGGGCTTATTACCAAGAGGGAGTTAGTGAGGCTGATGAAGAGGGACATGGATCAAATCCGGAAACTAGTTCCTGAAGTGGTCATGGTGTGGTCCGAGATGATTTCTCGGCAGCATTGGAGGCATGCTGGGGACCTTTCCATGGTTGCTCGGTATAGGGGAAAAGTTAACAGTTTTCATACAGCTGACTGGCAGGGTAGTGGTTAGGCATCGGGAACTGGAAGGAGTGCTTCCTGGGTATTATCGGGCGGACGGGGTGCATCTCTCAGATGCAGTTTTGGGTATCAGGAGGGTATCAGTAAGGCCCTATTTTTCCTGGTTGGTGGTGCTCAGGAGGCTTGAGGGGGTTAAGAACTGAGCTGTGGTGGGGTAGAGTTGGTTAATAACCTGCAGGGTTAGGTTAAGTGGAAAATACTCAAAGGGGTTACAGTGGTTTGGTAGGTTCAAGCTCGTCGGTGGCTCCGAACCTGGGGGTGTAGATGTGTCACGGTATACCTCTACAGATTGTTATATATTGGTAAGCGTGCCACTTGGTTGGTGTGCTATGTGTTATGTAATTATTATTATTGTTATATTATGGTTTATATGGATATATGGGTCAGGGTTAATTACATTATGTGGGTGATGGGCATTTATGTAATGTGTGTTAGGTGTTGGCAATGATCTTATGTTTATAAGATGTGTTAATAAAGCTGTGGACAAATATTTTCCAATGTTAAATTGTAGTCTGTGTTTTAATGGGAGTGAGTATTAAGGTTAAGGTGGATATGCTGAAGAAGGCGACTATGCACATGTCATGCTTACATTCCTAAAACATACACTGCTATCTCTCACAATGATTATCTCTCTATAATACACACCACTATCTCATACTATAATCCACTCTCTATAACATTAATTTCTCCAGTTTAATTTCTATTACTTGCATTTAATGTTCTTTCTGTTTATCTCTAGTTCTGTCATCCAGCAGAATGTTGTCACTGCAAATGCTGGTAAGTCTGATTGGTTGGTTCATCTGTATGATAGAATACAAAGGGGACAATGTTGAATATTTCTGTTTTTATTATACATTTTTATTGAGTGAAGCATAAAAAAAAAGAAACATTCATGCACAGATTGGAAAGGTTATACAGTTACTAGTAATACATGTGTTACAGTCTGGTTGTATTACATTTATATTGTTCAACAAGCAAAAATCGTTACACCAGAAAAATCCCACAAGAGGGTAACATACATGTGTATCATCTGCCTTATATTCCAGGGATATACAAAATAACTCAAGGGTGTCTAGGCAGACGACTGTGATTTGAGTGTAGATTGTAGACTATTATAGGTGATTTGGGGTACACCTCACTGCCTGCATTCAGGTGAATGAGATGACATTTAAGGTTATTCGATTGATCGCTGTACATGAACAGCTACAGGAGTGATTATGTAACTGGGGAAACATAACTTGAGACAAAAGGATGAAGGTAGGGTTACATAAAGAGAAATAAAGGGTGAAAAACAATCTGTTCAA